AATAAAGAGGGGGGGGGGGTGATTTGAAATCCTTTTGTAGAAAAAGGAATTTCATGTTAAATGGCTTTAGTTTAAGCCGAATCTACTTTTCTTGTCTTTTATCATCTATCATCACTGTTGCTGCTGTTGAAAGTAGGAACTCCACATAACGCCTCTAGAGTTTGCTGTCTATCTCTTCTGAGCTTTATGACCTTATGTAGCCTTCTGACCCACTCACATCATTTCTGGTCTGGGGATGTTGGATGTTACTGTTAGTGGTCTGCCTCTTTTGCACAGCCGTAACTTTTTAATCACTTTGCAGAATTTAACGATTTCAAGTGCTTATTAGACTTTTCACACGCACGCTCTTGTATGGGATTATCATATTTGATGTAGAAAAATAATGCTTCCATGTTTTTTTAATGAGCAAAAGTGTGAGTAAAACTTGGTTGCTGAAGACCAATATAAAGTGTCCCATTGAGTTGGGTCTCAGATGTTTAATTTTACCTAATATTTTCAGAGTCGTTCTTATAAAGATGGACATGTAGTGAATTGGATGTTTAAGAGAAAATTTACTCAATGGTGCTATTTTGTGAGGGGAGGGGAGGGTCTATTTTCAAACTGACTTATTCATTCTTCAGGTGTTTCAAAGACTAATGAAAATATTACGTTCCTGATTGTGAAAATTCTTCTCCTGTGTCTAGTTCCCATTAGACAAAGTGATGTCATTTCTTTACCTGCAAACCTCTGACCTCATTCTGATTGGGAATACTGTACCAATATTAAGTATATGTCCACCAAAGTGAAGATTTTAACTCATTCTATATATTTCTTCTTCAAGACTGACAGGTTATTTTGGTGTTCTCGACAAATGTCAGCCCAAGCCAGGGGAAGTTGTGTTGGTCAGCACGGCCGCTGGAGCTGTGGGCAGTGTGGTGGGACAGATTGCCAAGATCAAGGTGAGGAGGACTTGTGAGACACAAAAACGTGTAAAGTGGATAGTAATTCTAGACACGTTTAGTGCAGATCCTACCCGAAGCTGCATAATAATAATAAAATGTGAGGCGTGACGAAATCAGGCGCTCGTCAAAATAATCAAAGTGAAGAAACTGGCATTTTCTCTCAGGTTTATGAATTTTTATTGAATTTTCATTTTTGGCTTGACACCTTCCATGCCCATTGAAGAACATATTTCTGTGTGGATTTTTTACTGAAAAACCACGATTAAAGGCACAGCAAATGTAAATTTTCAGTTTCCATGGACTCTCAAGCTAAGGAAATAACTCGTCTTTGGCAGCCATTTTCTCACTAATTTTACCTCTGAAACTTGGTGACCCCCACCTCCTTCATTCGCAAATATCTCAAATTTTATTCAAGATTAATGGATAATTTTTTCATTGAAAGGAAGATAAATGAACAAGATTTAAGATGATTCCAATAACTCCATATGCCCAAAAATTAACAAGCACGCGCCTGATTCCACAGCAATTTTAACACAAATAATAAAGATCACTTCTATGGCACCCACTCCTTGGTAGCTTTAGGTGCTTCACCATAAAATTAAAAACTTGACAGCTTACATAATGACATGTTTCAGGCATAATGGCCCGTTCAATGTACAACTATCTTTTCAAATACATATATGCACCAATCATCGGACAAAAGAACATGCTTTAAAAAACAATGTGGCTTCTGATCACAATTGGAAGGAGAATAAAACTAGTATTGTAAAATAATATTTAAATAATGAGGCTGTATATTCCATTTTCGTGTTGTATGGTCTCTTAATCAAGCCGGTACTTTATACGAAAGTCACATTCTATCCATTTTTAGAAAATCAAAGTGATCTTTGGTTACAGAATGTTTTGAGACAAAATATTTTAATGTAGTAAAGACTTAAGATCAAGCGCGCAGTCTAATGGAAAAACTGGAAGCTTGAATATTGGAGATAAGCCATTTAGTCCCAAATCCCATCAGTCACATATGGATTTGCTGGCAGGTTTAGACCAGGTGTGCTTGTGGTTTTTCACCTTTAGACCAGGTGTGTTATATCATTAGACCAGCTGTGTTATTTCACCTTTGGACCGGCTATGTTATTTCACTTTTTAGACCGGCTATGTTATTTCACCTTGTACACCAGCTGTGTTATTTCACATTTGGACGAGCTGTGCTATTTCACCTCATTGGTTTCTTCCAGGGTGCGACAGTCATTGGATCCGCTGGCTCCAAAGAGAAATGTGATTGGCTGAAGGAGGTCGGTTTTGACCACGTTTTCAACTATAAGGAAACCTCGGTGGAGGATGCTCTGAAAGAGTTTGCTCCAGATGGAGTTGACTGCTATTTTGATAATGTAAGTAAGCACAGTTACATATTCTCTTAGTTTTGGAATTCCGAGAACGGGGGGTGTGATTGTGAACGTTTGGACTTAAGGAAAAAAAAGTGATATACTCGAAACTGGTGACAGGGAATAGATCTTTTGTTAACATGGCTGTATGTAACAGTTATATTTATATTGGTCTGACAGCTGGGATATATTATTATTTATAGACATGGAACAAAATGGAGTTTTCTTGTTATTTAAGCCATAAAAGCCTCAGAGGGAAATTTCAGAGTTAGATGGTTTGTGCCCAAAGGCCATTAGTATAAATAACAGTCTTTATGATCTGAATTGCATTGCGGGAGGTGTAAAAAAAACTACAGTTACAAATATATTGTATTACAGTTTTTATCAGGATTTACTATAACTACATTGGGCTCTTCGCAGCGTATGTTATTGATGGACAGGAGTTTATGGATCCCTGTCCCATGTCCTGTAAAAGGTGAAGTTTTAAGAACAATGAAATGAAATAATGTTGTAAATGCCTTTTAAATATTATTTTTTTCCTTACTTTTCCATCTCTTAGACCGCGAGTGGTTGTATGGCACCGCTGATCACTTAAAAGCCCTATTTCTTTTCTTTCCCTCTGTTGTTTCTTTCTGTATTTCTTTTTTTTTTTTCTTGCACTAAATGAACCTTGTTGAGTTGATTGGTTTCTGTTTACCTCGAGAAAAAAACTTTTAAAAAACCACTTCTTAGACTATTGAGCATACTATATTAAAAGGGGTGTCAAATTTCTACTTCGTGGGTGGTTGGCGGGTGTTCTGATGTAGTTTGCTCCTTCTTTCCGATCAAACATCTATCGTCCTTATCTCCCCTTCTTCTTTTTTATATTTGTTACTCTCTTGTAACTCCTCTAATCTACTGGCGCTCATATGACCTTATGCAGTTGCGAGCGCCGTAAAACCTCTACTAAAACTAACTAAAACAAAATTACCATAGTTGTGTTGATAGGCTTCTGTTTACCTCAAGAAAAAACCCAAACATAACCACTTCTTAGACTATTGAGCATATAATGTTAAAAGGGGTGTAAAACTTTTACTTCTTAGGTTTAACGGTTTTGTTCCTCTCCACAGGTAGGAGGCGACTACGCCATCACTGTTCTCAACAACATGAGACAGAACGGTCGCTTCTGTGCTTGTGGACAAATATCACAGTATAGTCTCAAAGAGAAGAAGCCAGGTGAGTTTGAATGATTTCATGACTTCCGTTGGGACCACATTTATGGTCTAAATTTGTTGACAATGCCATTTGACAATTACGGTACTCAAACAAGCAAACAAATGCCTTCACGTTCACAATGTGGCCACCAGCTTCTGCTTCCTCTTTTGGGGAAATACCTCAGGGCAAGGGTGGGCGAACTATGGCCTGTGGACCAAATGTTGCCTTTCACAGAGTTTTGTGCTGCCCGCGGAAATATTTGGTGAAATTTTTTTTTAAAAAAGGAAATGAATTACTTTTCATGTAAGTGGTCTCATTGGTCAATATACTATAGAAACAAGACTAGCTGTTTAAGTGTAAATTAAAGAAAAATTAATATGTTCATCTTTTTCTAGATTTAATCATTTTATTATAATGAGGCAGGTTACATTTTGTATTTATTCAGTTAATAAAATAAAACTGTGTTTACTTAGTTAATAAGAGAAAAATAAGATTACACAACACACTATGTCCAGTTTTATCCCTTTGCTGTTTATGACCAAGTTGAAGTGGCCCCTGATCTGAGAAGTTTGTTTTCTCCTGCATTGGGGAATGATCCTCTACTG